CTCTCTCTTCTCTCTCTCTCTCTCTCTCTCTCTCTCTCTCTCTCTCTCTCACACACACACACACACACACACATACAATATCAAGTACAGATACTCGCATACACGCACACAATTTTCCCACTCACCAACTATGCCAGCAACAAGCAACATCAGGAGCTATCAGAAACCAGGTACACAGTTCACCTCCAACCTCACCATGAGCCCAGAGCTAAGGGTACTGAGAGATGGGAACATAAGCCCTTTCCCCAAGAATAGAAACCCTTTGGTCTGAAGGACATGGCCTAGTTGATCTGTGGCAGGGGGCCAGGCAGAAATTCACATGCTATAAAGGGAGGGGGCCCAAAATATTCCCTGTCTTAGCATCTCAGTTTTTATCATTAGAGATTCATATTTTTGGCCTCAGATAAAAGTTCCGTGAAATTACGGATCACTTTTCTATTTACCTTACTGCACACTGCCGCTTGCCAACTGGTCAAAAACTTCCACGCCTGCCCTGACCGGTTTGGCTCAGTGGATAAAGTGCTGGCCTACAGACTGAAGGGTCCTAGGTTCGATTCCGGTCAAGGGCATGTACCTTGGTTTCGGGCACATCCCCATGGGAGGTGTGCAGGAGGCAGCTGATCGATGTTTCTCTCTCATCGATGTTTCTAACTCTCTACCCCTCTCCCTTCCTCTCTGTAAAAAATTAATAAAATATATTTTTTTAAAAACTCCCACTCCTGTCATTTCCACTTTTTATTCTCTAAGCCCCATCCCTCCTGTTTATCCTTACAGTCCCATCTTAGCTCTTGTCTCCCCAGTAGCATGAGCTATTGTCCTATCCTCCTCACTGGTCTCCCTACTCTTGTCCCCTGCCATCCTTTCAAGGGCAGATTGGTCTTCTTCTCCTTTTTTTTTAAAAAAAAATATATATTTTATTGATTTTTTACAGAGAAGAAGGGAGAGGGAATAGAGAGTTAGAAACATCAATGAGAGAAAAACATTGATCAGCTGCCTCCTGCACACCCCCTCCTGGGGATGTGCCCGCAACCAAGGTACATGCCCTTGACTGGAATCGAACCTGGGACCCTTCAGTCGGCAGGCCGACGCTCTATCCACTGAGCCAAACCGGTTAGGGCCAGATTGGTCTTCTAAACCACAAAAGTGATCATGTCCCTTGCCTGTTTTTTGTTTTGATTTCTTTCTTTTTCCCCTTCCCCTTTTCTGTTTAAAATCTTTCCAAAGCTTCCCATTGCCTTCTGGATAAAATCAAGTTATCAACCCCACCCCCACCCCAAAAGCTGTCAGTCTGGCATTCACAAAGATTCTTCTTCACCCCACGGCAACAATGCTCCCTCAAGGAAGGAAGTCTTCCCCAATGACCAAGCTAGGTTATGTGCTTCCTCTGGGCCCTGCTATCCCTGTCTTCCCTTTTATCACAAAAGGAGTCCTAGCTTACCGTGCAGTGACTGTCTGGGTCTAGGACTATATCCTGTATGAATGAAATGCTAAGGGCAAGTCCATGTTCAATTCAATGCCCCTGACACAGAACCTCTACTCCTGGGTCCTCAAAAAAGGCCTGGTGGACTGCTCCTGGAGGCAGGAAGTCCATCTAGGTTTCTAGCTGGCAGAGCTCTGAGTGGACACAAGGAGGCCAGAGACAGAATCCAAGCTAGAATATCCCATAGCAGGGCCTGGGGTCCTCCCAGGTCAGGCCCCCAGTCTGAGCTATAGCTGTTACTTCTCCTAGCTCCTGGCCTCGTCTTACTTCTTCAGTCCTGGATCCCCTTCCAGTCTGGTCTTTCTTCACTCTCCTTCTCCCTCTCATGATCTCTCTTACCTATTCCCACTCCCTTCCCTTCACCCTCTCCCCTTTGCTCCCTTGCACTCCCTATAATCCTCTTCTACTCTAGGAGGACTGTGACTCTACTTTCTGAGTCCCTCCCCGCAACCTCCCCAACTCTGACTTGCCCGCCACCATCCTTTTATCTCTTCCCCCTCTCTCTAACCCTCCACCTTCTTGCCTACTCTTTGATTTTGCCCTTATCTCTATCTCCCGACCTGGCACTGACCCAGTGCTGGGGAGCATGGCACTCACCCCACAGTCAGTGGCCACCGTGTACTCAAAGTGGAACATCAGGGACCAGATGATGCAGAAGAAGAAACCGAACACAGGGAAAGTGATGAGCCACCAGAGCATGGCTGTGAAGCGAAGCCGGAAGATGGTCCCATCAGGGTCCAAGGGCTGGGAGGCCGCAGAGAACATTCTGTAGGAACTGGTGCCTAGGCAGGGCAAGGGATACAACATAGGGCCTGGTGGGATACCTAGGCATGGGAAAGTAAGGCCTTTTCCAGAGCTACTCGGGGTATAGAAAGAGTCAAAAGAGTAGAACAACATAAGGAAAAAAGAAAAATAATGCAGAAGAAAACGAGGTGCAGAGGGAGATGAGGTAAGAGCAGCAGAGATAGACAGGGTCAGCTCTTAGGAATCCCCTTGGTACACTGATCCTATACAGCCACTCTTGAAGAGTCTGGAAAATAGAGGCTCCTAGTGGCCTGGACAGGAAAGCTCTGATGGCCCACCTCATTCTCACTACCTTCATACCCACTCAGAAGAGTCAGAGGTGGAAGGGTATTATTCCCATTCCACAGAATGGGAGACTGAGGCCCAACACTATGCCAGGATCAATTATTAGAACTAAGGCCTCTTGCCACCTGGCAACTTAAGGCTCCAATCAAGGCTTTCTTCTGGTCAAGGATCCTAGGAAAAGGACCCTAGCTCAGACTGGCCCAAGCCCTCCCACTGACCCTGTCTGACCACATTCCAGCTCTTTACCCATGTTCAACTAGGAACAGTGGGCGTGCCTCAGACCTACTTCAATGGGACCACAGGCTACCAGCCATCCCACCCACAGGCTCAGAATGATCCAGCCTCAGGCCAGCAGTATACCCTGATCCCAAGATACCAGGGTCCCTCTGAGGCCCAGACTTCTATCTCCTTTCTCTCTAAGAAGACCATGTCACCCACTTCAAGATTTACAGGAATCTGAGGATAATGGAAACCTTCTCTACTTGGCTTGAGCCTGCTGTGTTGGACCACACCTAGGTGGACAGACCTAGACCCAGGGAACTGGGCTGCTTCTGCTCCCTTCTCCCTCTAGGCAAAGAACTCCCTTTCTACACCCTACTGTCCCAACCACCATGGCGGGGGGAGATGGGGGAGAGTGGACAAAGATGATTTTGTATTAAAATGCCCAAGACCAAATCTCCCCTTGGGACTCATACCTCCCTCCATTAGGAAACCCCAGCCCATTAGTCTAGCTCACCATCAGGAATTGGGACAGGGGAAGGGCTGGGGAAGGGAGGGGTGCACTGAGCAACACTCACACTGGGTGCTGAAGGGTCCGGAGCTTGGGTTGAGTGCTTTAGCCAGACTGAGACTGTTTCAAGTCTAGAGGGTCCCACCCCCAGCTCCTCAGGGCCGGCCTCCCCGCCCACAGAGTTCCCAGATCTCCACGCCTGCTCAGGCAGACAACCTCCCTAGGACAATAAGGCCACATCATCAATTTTGGAACACTCTGAAAAGGTAAGGAGAGATAGTGGCTAAGGTCAGCTCACAACAGCTTCCTTGCCAGAGATGGGGGTTGGGAGTTTGTCTAACAATACAGGTAGGTTTCTGGAAAGGGAAAAGTAGAAAACAGAATAGGATTTCACCATTTTTTGTTGGAACAGGAATGAGTTTGTTGCTGGGCATCATTGGAGAGCTAATCTTAGGACAATAGATTCATGATCCAAAAGAGATCTAGACAGGCCTGAATATGAGCTATCGGAATCCAGCCTGGACAGATGCAGAAACAGCTATTGGCAGCTCAGGCTGCATTAAGAGAGGCCTAACAGTCTATAATAGGAAAGGAACAGTCCTGTTTTTGCCTGTACTGCCCAGTCCATAGGAAGTCCTATGCCCAGATTAGGGCCTAGCATGGAGAGAACAGTGGCCAACAGCGCCTGAAGGAACTAGAGTTATGCTACCTAAGAGTAGGCTCACGGACTCCCATCTCTGCAGGGCTGGCTGGAAACCAGGAGGAAAGAGTAGCTCTAAGGCTCCCGAAGCAGAGATTCACCCAGAAGAGAGTGTATGCTCACTATAAGAGCGAGCTTGCTAATTGTTAGCTACTAAGCCTCGTCAGAATAGGCTGCCTGGGGAGGAAGAAAACTCCGCATCACTGGGGATGTGCAAGCAGAAGTAAAGTCATCTAAGTATAGATATGTTAAACTAAGGTTACTTCTTTCATTCCTAGGGTTGGCCATGCCTTGGAAATTCAGGGTGAAAAATTCAGAGGATATACAAAAATCCCCAGGGAGATCCAACATGGTAATCCCAGGGAGTGGGAACATAATACCCCCAGGGTTGCTAGGCCTAGTTCTGCCCAGAGGGACCAGAACTGCCCCTCCTACCGCTACCTATAATTTAGCTACATAACCAGTATGCCAAGAATGGGTCATAGAGATGCCAGATATGCCGAGGTTATTGTTCCCATTAGCCCTCGGAGCCAGGCATGAAGGGCAGAGCAAACAGCCTACATTTAATTCCATATGCTGTACAAATATTATGACTTTCTATATGGACTATGACTGCATTATACCATGCCTTCCTTTTCCCAGAGCACTGGGCTGGGGGTCTAATTCACTTATTCAACAAATACTGGTTCAGATGTAGTGCTCACCTTCAAGGAGCTTGCATTCTGGTGGGAAAGATACACAAATATAAGGTGATAGAACTGTGTGAGAGAGAATACAGGGTACTGTGGGTACCCAGAGGAGGGAGTGGTTAAGTTTGCCCCAAGGAAGCTGAAGAAGGCTTTTTGGAGGAGGATACACCTCAGCAGGATGTTGCGGGATGAAGAGGAGTTGGCCAGGATAATAGAAACATTTGGTGTATTATCTAAGATGAGAAGTAGTCTTGGATCTTTTCTAAGGTGAGAACTAGGTCTTGGAACTAGGTCCCCCTTAGATCACCTGGTCACCCTCTTTCTCCTAGTTCTGTTCTTTCTGAGAGCTCCCAGCCTGGCTCCCCATTGCTCAAGGCCCATGATTACCCATTGACAAATCAAGAGGGAAAACTTCAAGTCCTATGAACAAAAGAAGTGCCCCACCTCTACCCCCAGCCAGTGGAGTCACAGTGGACTCCACTGCTAGTCACAGCCCTTTTTCTGGAGCAAATGCTCTTTATAGGACTGGAAGTCTTCAGAGCTCTTGCTGAGGCTAATGCAAAAGTCCATGTCCAGGCCCTGCCTCTTTTCTACTTAGAGCACATAGGTAAATTCCTCCCCTGTTCTGTCTTCCACCCTGACAATTTCCTTCTCTTCCTCACCCTTTACATTTCATAAATCACCTTCCTATTCTTCCTCTACCCGGAGCTCTATACTAGTAGACATGGGGAAATGGAGGCTTTATTTGTTGTCTCAGGTAATATAGAGAGTTAGTGGATAAACTAGGAGTATAACAAAAGTAAACACAGGTCTCACCCCCTTTACTCCAATTTCCTCTAGAGAAAGAATTCTCACATTTTTCTTCCTGGCCCACCATCCCATATTGCTGTCCAGAAGGTACATGGCCATCTGTGAAACCTCAGAGGGCATGGGACCTACCCCGGAACAGAGACTCATAATCAGATCCCCATCCAGACAGGCACAAATACAGTCTCTCTCACACACATACCCAACTCAAAGCCATTATAGTCATGTCCCTTACAATTACACACACATATACATAATCACATTCCCATAGAAACTGGCACCAGCCCACAGTGCCACACTAAGAGACTCCAAATGCCCTCTAGCCTAGTCCTGTTCTCTCTCCACCCCCCAGAAACTCTGCATCTCCTGAATCTGCCCCTCTATGAAGATTCGGTTCTGCTGCAGCTGCCCAACTTCAGCCCCCAGCCCCCAGCAACCTCCATGAAGGTAGAGGGAGACTAATCCTTGTGACCTCAATTTGCAGGCATCCCCCCAGCAGTCCAGTATGTTCGATGGACCCCATTGCTTATCCTGTCACAAAAGAACTAGGATCCAAAATAAATCCAATATGAGGTATCAGTGCCCCCAATCCCTACCCCACAGTGTGTAGCCGTAGTCTCCTTGAAGTGGAAGAGCAGGGACCAGAGGATGCAGAAGAGGAAGGCGATAAGTGGACAGCAGACTGTGCCCAGGGCCACCATGGTGAAGCGGAGCCGGAACAGGGTCCCATCCCGGTCCAGTGATAGTGGAACCTGGTACATCTTGTCAGACCTGGGGATGGAGGGGTGTGTTGTCAGGGCCCAAGGCAGCAAGGTGAAGTCAGCTCTTGTGCTCAGTCCTCCCAGAAGGAAGCCATCTAGCCCCCAAGCTTGGACAGCTCCTCGCCTAGATGAGGAAGACTGACTTGGAAACCCATGAGAACATTTACCCTCAATTTCAGAGGACAGTGAAGCAGACCTGTGCTGCAATGAAATGTGAATAGATTGGAAGACCTCCTCTTCCCTATGCCTAGGACTACAGGAACTGGTTTAACTAGTCTCTCTTATTTCAGGAACCAATCCTATAAGCCTTCTAGCAGGCAGAAAGGTCCATCCC